AGCCAGCCGACACATTCATGCCACACCCATAATATAGCTGAAGCGCGGGTCTACCACGTATAGACGGTCTTCAAACAACTAAAGAGAATAAAATAAATTTCATAGTAGCTGTATGCATAATAGCTCTAGCAGTCGGTGCTAACACATAGTATAGAAGTATTAAAGCCCCGACGTCTTTGCTTTTTTTTTAATACTAGTAATTCTATTAAACAATATTCCCTTTAACCACTTCTGGTAAGCTAAAAATACTTGTGTAAGAAGTGGTTCACGACAGTAGTCGAATGGCGGATTCGATCCCACAACCTTTCGTGTTCGCGATCCGCGCCCTGCCATTAGGCTACTGACACTTCTAGAGACGTCTGAAGCTATTATGAGGAAATTATTATTATTTTCAATTATTAGGTGTCTGCTTTTATTTTTATTAGTTACCATTGAAAACTTCATGCCCGATTTTCCACCTGTAAAAAGGTTTAATTTTTTCTCCAAATTTATATAATGGTCTACAAATTGACAAAGATATCGAGTAAGATACATGCAAAGAAAAGAATATACTCGAATTGAGATTTTTCCTTTTTTTTTGAAGTCCGCTAACAATTAATAAAAGGAAGCCTTATAAGTTCATTCGCATTACGTTAAAAGTGAAAGTTACTACTGAAACCTGTTTCATATCGTTTAACGTACATCATATTATACGTTAGGTACGTTTCGATATCTATAAAACACTCATACAATTCAAAACAACATCAATTGAAAACTTTAAAATTATGTATATTTATTTTGCGTGACAATACCACTTTTCTCCGTTTTCCATTCCGGCAACCGTAAAAATGTTAACGAATAAGTCATAGATAATCGGTTGTTTGTCCATCGCCAGTTTATTTAATCTTCAAATGTGGAAAATGTATTTAATGAGTTACGTATCGGCTCAAGACGTGTCTAATACGTGAAATACATCACAATTTAAAGTGTGGAAATTTTCTTAAGTAATTCGGTCACGTATAATTGCGATAATGTGACATCTTGAACAGCGGTTTATTTGTAGCGTATGCAAAACATATTATGGGTATGGGTAGTTTGGGTAAATAAAAAAAGAGTGACTTTAAATAAGTATAATTTGTAATCTATCTATATAAATATAAATAATTTAAAATTAAAAATTTTGTACAACCTACTTCATTATAAATTATTAAGAATAACTCAAAAACTATTGGTCAGAACTTGATCAAATTTATATGGGACCACATGAGAAGCGCCAGATTTCAAATAAAGAAAGGAATCATCGAAATCCGTTCGCCCAGAAAAAAGTTATAGGTAACACACATTAAAAAAAACATGTAGTCGAATTGAGTACCGTATCCTTTTTGAAGTCGGTAGAAAATGATAGAGGTTTGCAGTTGAGCCCGCATCACGGAAAAATTTCCGGATGGATTTCAATTAGGTTTTCTAAGTTTTATTTCTTAGACACTTGACCGTTATTTAAAAAATATTGCGATATCTTCATTTAATATAAAGTTATTAAAGTTTTAAGAAACAATGATTTTATAAGCAAAGTATATTTTTGCTTGCAATCTTTTTGATGTTTTTTCCTTCGCACACACGAAAACGTTAATATATCAAACAACGCAGATGAAGTCGCAGCCATCAGCTAGTATTGAATAAAAACGTTTCTATTTCAGGGTGTGTCCTCGCTATGCGATCAAACCTAATGCTCAAGATATATCGTTACTTTTGTTCAACAAACTGAATCGTAAAACTTAATGTAATGTTCTACTGCATCGCTAACTAAACTGTATAAGAAAACCGATGCAAATAAAGCGTAATAGTGTGAACACACTTACCTATTTTTACCACTCTCATGAAATACTAGTAGTATAATGCTACTGTTTCGTGTAATAGGAGTCGGAAATGGTAGACGCCTTTAATTGGTGATGATAAGACATTTGATCTTAATCCAAAGCAGTGACAATACATCAATTTTATTTTTAATCGAAAAAAGCATTAGATCCTAGCAAAACATTAATGTGAAAGGCTTCGCCGATAAAAGAGTGTAGAGGTATGACCGGGCGCCAAGCTTCATAGATTCTATGGTTATAGCAACTACTAGGGAGCTTGGAACATCGATCTATTAATCGTCGATGGCTTGGAAGATCGAAACTAACAATGCCGAACGTCGTTTGTATCAAGCTTGGCAACTTAAACTAAAGGAATTAAATGACGGCACTTTATATCGATATTTCAAGTTTTCTGATGTTTTCTATTGTATACGCTTAATGATTTGCCTTGACCTAAATTTCAAGTTTCTAAGAAACCTAGAAATTACCTAGGTTTAATAGTAAATATACACACTGCCGGTGCTGGCGCACTGCCGTGTGTCAAGATAGATGTAGGATTGTAAGAGTATAGCCATACCAGTAGAGCCACAGAATATATAATAGTACTAGTATTATAGCATCTGTTTATAATCGGGTGGAATGTGTGGTCGTGTTTGATTGTTGTTTTAAAAAAGTTAGCTAAAGTGGCAACTTACCAATTAAGAGATCGTTTCCATGTGACAATGTCCTTAGTGATAACATTTTGTTTATTATTAACGTGAAATATAAAAGTTAAAGTTATTTTATTTTATAGAGAAAAACTTGATTAGACTTGCAACGAATATTCGGTATTCGGCTACTTTTATCCTATTCGGCCGAATTCTTAGATAGAAGGTTTTATTGTAGTCAGATAATTTGGTAAAAATAAAATATTTGTTTTTTTTTTTTTTCTAGTAATCATTAATGTAATCATATGTACATAATCAAATTCAATATTATCGAAATAAAAAAAGAACTATCAGATAAATGTCTATGCACTCAAATTATCGTATTAAAAGTGGAAGATAATGGTGCAGAGAGACTAATTTATCTTCATTTTCAGGCAGTAGTTTACTACTTTTCTTCTGATAGACAATCCAAGCTTCAGAGAAAGACGCTCTGAAGAATAAACATTACTTCCTTCCCGATCGAATACTTGTGCCTAATATTCGGCTATTCGGCCAGGAAGTCCGCAGAATATTCAGTATTCGGCGTGTGGCCGAATATACTTTTCGTTGCAAGTCTACTTTGATATCTATATCTTAACTATAGTTTACGTCCTTATTTAATGGTTGGCACAATTTGTTCATAACTTGCGCTTCCTTTGTCTAAATCAAAAAGACAGGAAGCGCGAACTGAACCCATGTTTGGATTGGATGACCTCAGTAACGGTGCCATCTTGCCTCGACCAACGTGCCGAATTATAATTTGTTTCGCTTTCGTCTCGTTATCTCATTCACTGTACTGTCATTGATAGTGACCTAAAGCTGAACTGCATTGTTGAGGCTTTGTAACTTGTAATATTTTTACATTAGTATTGACTTTTTTTAAAGGATGATGGATAAGTGGATGCTGTGGCCCATAGACATCCACATATATCCCCGATTAAGAATAAAACTGCAGATGCATTGTTACTCGTGAGGACTAATCTGAAATATCTCGTTTCCGTAAAAAGGGTCTCCGGTTCTCTGCACTCACCACACGAAACTTTGCAGGATCGAACTGCTATTTTACCTTGGTATTCTGTGAGAGCGTGGTACTTTCCCGGTGGAGCCGACCTATTCGTGTTACAACCATAATATAGCCACAGCGTGCCTTTACCACATGACTGTGATGAGAGTGATCGAAATTTGAAATATGTAGGATTCTATAAAACTTATTTGAATGAAACGTAATAAATAATAATACATAAAGTATATAATATTATACCTGTTAATGCAATGCAATGTTAAAGAAATGCAGTGAATCTTAGATTTCTTTCTCCCTCGCACAACTTCTTTGTGGAATCAATTACCACCAGCGAATTTTCCGAACCGATACGACTTAGGAACCTTCAAGAAAAGAGCTTACACCTTTCTAAAAGGCCGGCAACGCATCTGCAATTCCCCTGGTGTTGCGGTTGTTCATGGGCGGCGGTAGTCACTTACCATCAGGTGAGCCGCAAGCTCGTTTGCCCCTATTCTATAAAAAAAAAAAAATTTACTTTGTCTCCTTGTGGATATCTTATATTTTAGCAAATACTACACATTTCTAATTAAATTTAAAGAATTTTATCATACATACATAAACACTCAAGCCTGTCACCCAGAGAGGTAGCCATTTGGCATGACCCTGCTCTCACCTCATTTACATCCATACACCTACGTATACATGCTCGTTGGTTAAGGGTATTCTTAATTTAGCCTTTCCTCAATATATCGCCAATCTAGTCTATAAAAAAAATTGAAAAATCCCTTGCCGACTCTGCCGCTCACTTCTCCACAATAAAGAGATTTCATCGGTTTTACTTTGCTGATTTTTAATTTCCGACGTTTTTGAAACAAAGTTTTTTAATCGCACGGTACGAATTTGACGGATGGGGGCTAGGCGAGAAAAAGTGTAAGACTTTTTCCGTCACGACCCCCTTTCTATAGTGCGAGGGAGATGAAATAATATCCATCACCCTCGCACTTTTTCTTACCTTGCCATGAATGAAATATGATTTTAATTGACGTTTCATTTTAAAAGACTCTAGTAATACATTTATTTGTATCTTTTAATCAAAAATATAATACGTTTATCAAAAATAATATAATACGAAAGGAACTTCGTTCCAACCGAGTATACTATCTGCATAGATCAGACAAAAATGTAAAATTGAAAGAATGTAAGTTCTGGGTAGAACTTCCTTTTCTGTCAAGCAGTCTGTTTGATTGGATACCTCCCTCTAATCTGTTTCTGTCGCCAAATAGCAATGTCTGCAGAGTTCGTTCTGAAGGTGGAGAAAGCCAGTGTAATTACAGCCTCTAAAGCATTGTATATTAGTTCTCAGAGGTGACAACGAATCTGCAGTCTTCTTTGTTTGAGTGGAGAAGTTCTTTTGTTACTTCAATTATATAAACAAAAAAAATCAGCAGCGTGCATTGAATCCACAACCGTCTTCCGTTCCAGGTGGACGGCAAAACGATAAAGGCGCAGATCTGGGACACCGCGGGCCAAGAGCGATACCGCGCTATCACATCGGCGTACTACCGCGGCGCAGTGGGAGCGCTGCTCGTGTATGACATCGCGAAGCACCTCTCCTACGAGAATGTGGAACGGTGGTTACGTGAACTACGCGATCACGCCGACCAGAATATCCTCATTATGTTGGTCGGCAACAAGAGCGATCTAAGGCATCTCCGGTGAGTCAGTTCTATCATTCCCAAAACTTTATTAAACCGCGAAGCACCTCTTTTGCGCGAAAATAGAGCAGTGGCTATCTCAGGTACTCGACAACACCAACCGAATATCCTCATGATGATCGACAACAAAAGGAATCTCTAATGCATAATTTCTACAATTTCTACGAATTACTCTATCTGAATGTAAAGTCATATTCAGCGACATGCTGCTAATAGCCTTATGAAAACATTTTTTTATTTGACTGGTTATATAAATTAAAAGACATCTAATTATTCTTAAGCCTTGTAATATCCAAAAAAAAGTAATCCAGCTTATTATTTCTTTTACACTTACAGTCTACCTAATGGTAACTGACTACTACACTTCATGCACGCCTGCAATCTATTTCAAAAAGAATAGACTACAGATTGGTTTGTCACCTATGAGGACTAAAATGGAATGCCCTCACAGCCATTAATTATATATATATTTAGTTATTTTTAACAAAAAATGTTACCCCCATACTAGGATTTTCTTCTGTATCGTGGAGGCAATTTATAAACATATATTGCACAAGGACAAACATCCAGACCCGGAACAATTATTTGTAGGCCATACAAATAGTTGTTCCGTGCGGAATTCGAACCCACGGCCCCAAGCGTTGCAACTCATTGCTAAGCCACTACGCCACGTAGCCATATTGGTTTTGTATATGTAGGAAGGGCCATTATCATTATTTACATTATACGTAGCCATTTTAAACTGGTCTTTCCCTTTCACCTATTTTCTCTTGTTATGCCTACTTAACGCTTTTTATGCCTACTCCGTAGGCATATATACGTGTACTGGATATACTGTAGAAATTAGGTCTTCAGTGATGGTTACGATTTCACTGGATATCATTATTTTTTTTTTCGGTTGACTCTATACCCCTTATGTTGGTACACAGCTTCAAGAATTCTGTCTAATGCCCCTACATGAGCTCTATGAGTCAAGGTGCACTCATCCCATATTATTAGACTGGCATCTTGCAAGATTTTACCTAATGGGCCATTTTTACAGATAGAACACACACTGTCTCGTTCACGTTTTCTTTTCTTTTTTATAGAATTAGGGTGACAAACGAGCACACAGTCCACCTGATGGTAAGTGGTTGCTGTGGCCCATAGACACCTGCATCTATCTTCGTTTGCGAATTAAAATGCAGATGCGTTGTCAGCCTTGAGGGCTAAGATAGAATGCCTCTTTCCAGTAAAATGGGTCTCCGGTTCTCTACACCATTCGAAACAGCAGCATTAAGCTGCTATTTTACGCTGGTATTCTGTGAGAGCGTGGTCCTTCCCCGGTCTAGCCGACCCATTCGTGCTACAACTATACTATTAATATAGCTGCAGCATGACTACAACGTAGGGGTAGGCACAGTTGTGAGACTGGCATTGGCTTATGAGGCCTTTCTGCCGAATCGGAAGCGATCTTTAGGGAAAAGGGGGCACAGAACAAGAAAGAGCCGTTCATGCATCTAAGCTCTCTAAGCCGCACGAAATGACACCTCGCTCATACAGGCGTTCACTGCAGGTTTCTCTAGAATCTCATTGGCGGCTAGAGTTTATGCGGTCGTTGTGAGAGAGTGTTTATTATTTTAATTTTTCATTACCTCTTAAACTATGCGTCCAAATAACATACTATAAAGAGAAAAGTTTATCTTCATAAAATTGTCTTGATGATGAAGTAACTTTTGTTCGTGAGGGTTAATATGCCATGCCTAATAATAACGCTCATATATCACTTTTTAATTTTCAATATTTTTTTGTCACAAAATACCTTATTGTGGCTTATGAATAAGAAATAGGCATATGGTATCACAGACTTTTTTTTAGATGGAGTTAAGACCAATATTTTTGTACAACATTGTATTTATGGAATTAGTTACACCAGTGCATGGGGATAAAGCCGTTAGAGAGCGCCTTTTCTTCCGACTTGCTTAACAAAAATCAATATTTAAGGCTAGCTGAGAGTTATATAGGCTAATGCTAGATAGCCTATACTATTTCTCATGAGTTTGGCTATTATATACAAAGATAATTTTTCAAATCGGACTGGTAGTTCCAGAGATTAGCACATTTAAACAAACAAAAAAACTCTTCCGCTTTATTACATTAGTATACATTAATGTAGATAGTTTGTTAAGGCCCGCCATATACATACGGAATTCCGTTTCGGGATTCCGTTTCGATATTCTGGAATCCCGAACGCAGCAAGTCCATATAAAATCTATGACCCGCCCCACACGTACGGTCGTTTTCCGTTCGAAATTTTGCGAGCAAAACGGAATTCCGTTTGTGTGTGGCCGACCGCTCGAAATTCCGAAACGGAATCTCGAAACGGAATTCCGTATGTATATGGCGGGCCTAAGTAGTTAAGGTTTATATAATTTAATTTCTTGATTTACGATTTCAGATCCATCCCAACGGAAGAGGCAAAAGCGTTTGCAGAAAAAAATGGTCTTAGTTTTATTGAAACATCAGCGCTCGACTCTACCAACGTAGAGCCTGCATTCCAGAACATATTAACTGGTAATGTTATGAACATATAACAAATATTAAGGTTAGCCTGTATGGACCTCATCCAATGTAGGGAGAATTTTTTTTTAATCAGACGGTAGGCATACAAGCGTTCCAGACCGAATGGTACAGGGAGCCAGTATAATTACAGGTTGTGAGGCATTCCATCTTAGTCCTCGGAGGTGACAACACATCTGTAGCCTTCCTCGTTAGAAGTTTTCCTGAGGAATTCCATCTTAGCCCTCAGTAGTGACAATGTAGCCTTTTTTGTATGATATTTTTGGGAAGCGTTCGATCGACGGATTCGAAGCCGCAGTTCTCAGCGTCGCAACTCATTGTTAAGATACTGCGCCTCGCAGCCGTCAAATAATGGTAGAGCTATTTTGCAGCTGTATTGTGGATTCGTATGGTTAGTATAGAGAACCGGAGACCATCACTATACACGAAACATAACAGCATTAAGCTGCTATTTTACGTTGGTATTCTGTGAGAGCGTGGTCCTTCCCCGGCCGAGTTGACCCATTCGTGCTACAACTATACTACTAATGTAGCTACAGCATGGCTCTACTACGTAAAAACTTGATACTTTTCGGGTATTAGTACTTCTAGTAAGTATTGTATCGTATTGTTTCGTTTAATCATGTCATGCTAGTGCTACCTAGCCGTTTGTTTGACATTACAAGACCTTAGCACATAAAACAAAAAAAAAAAGGTAAAAGTGGTTTATCTATATATAATATAACCCTTTCTTGGCTGAAAAGGTTGAAATGGGTCTTTATTTGGCAACACCAGTTGCGTTATTGTACATTACTGTAATGGGAAGAAATTAAGTCTGTGTTTCCTCAGTTATAGAAATTAGCTGTGAAGTATGTGACAATTCCAGCAACATCTGTTTCTGAAATTGTCTGATTTTAGATAGAATTACTTTGAAACATTTGTTTTCGAAGGTAGGATATAATATTTATACCATGTCGAAAACGAGGAACAAACTGTCGCCAACACTTTTAGACAAATTATTGTTTTTGAATGATTGTACAGAGGATGAATGACAGGTGTGATGTATTGTAAGTAGTTCTTCCTCTGTGCCATCACACAAAATAATTATTATAATCATTGACATGATCTGTACTGTATAATTTTATTATATGTATGACAATTCATATTGTACTTAATAAAAACAAATTCCATTATATACATTAATTAATAAAAGTTACGTTTCGCATCAGAATAAAAGGCGCGGTAGCCGCCATACTGGTGTATCGTTGCGTAGGTCGAGCTATGTAGCACTGTCGTCCGACATCAGGTTATCGTGAAGTCACAGTGGCGTGATTCAGTGCTCCGTCCAAGCGGGCGAACTTGAAAGTGTACTTGTGTACTCGCTATATAAATGATTAGTAGAGCGTTAGTGCGTTTGGCAGTTGCAAGTTGAAGTAAATATAAAGTGAAGGTGGTGGTGTGGTTGTGTCCCGCAGAGATCTACAGGATCGTGTCGCAGAAGCAGATGCGCGAGCCGCCCGAGGGCGACGTGATCCGCGCCGACGCCGAGCCGGCCGACGTGCGGCCCGCCGCCGACTCCGTGCGCAAGCAGTGCTGCCAGTAGACGGTACGCGCCACACACCCCACTCCCAACTCCTCCATTGTTCAAATTGCTTTATATATCATCATTTTATTCAATATACATGATTTTATTTATTTGATAATAAATTTATAATTTTAAGTTATATTAACCATTTTTAAAGCACCACGCACAAAAGTGACCGAGATAATAATAGGAAAAACTATACTGAACTAGCTGTTCCCCGCGGTATCACCTCGACACCGACATGAGAGGCATTCACTGCTGGTTTCTCTCGGATCTCATCGGATGGCTAAGCGTCGTTCGCGCGCCAAGCCGAGTGTTGAATAATTTTAATTTTTCATTATCTCTTAACAACATGCTATAAAGAGCAAAGTTTATCTTACTTACTTAGTTACTTCATCATCAAGACAATTTTAAGAAATTGTCTTGATGATGAAGTAACTTTCGTTCATAAGGATTAATATGCCATGCCTAATAATAACGCCCATAAATCACTTTAATATTTAATAGTATTTACATATCACTTACCAACTTGCTTAACACACAATATTAAGGCTAGCTGAAAGGTATATATTAAAAAAAAAGTCCCGCTGGGTTTCTTGCTGGTTCTTCCCAGAACAGAGGTATTTTCCGAACCAGTGGTAAATAAAAAATGACTTTCAATAAGTATTATGTAATAATCAATATTTAATAAAAAAATCATTCTATTCTATTCTATAGCCTATTAGCTTAGATAGCCTATACTATTCCTCGTGAATCTAGCTATCATTCACAAAATAAATTTATCAAATCAGACTAGTTGTAGATCTCTGCAACTACTAGTCTGATTTGATAAATTTTAATAATGCATGTTTAAACAAACAGAAAACCTCTTCCACTTTATTACATTAGTATAGATTCTTTCCTATAGATTTATTTATATATTTGTCACTTTTTAGTGACGCTTTTTCGTTTTATTGAGTTTCAAATCACAACGATGTTAAAGAAGTTTTTACTTGTTCTCTATACACTCACCGTACTAAACACAGCAGTGTTGAGCTGCTATTTAAACTGGCATTATGTGAGAGCGTGGCTCTACCCCGGTTGAGCTAACCCATTTGTTTTTTTTTTTATAAAATAAGGGTGACAAATGGACACACACTCCACCTGATGGTAAGTGGTTGCTGTGGCCACATTTATCCTCGATGACGAATCAAAATGCAGATGTGTTGTCACCTGTGAGGACTAAAATGGAATGCCTTGTGGAGGCATTCAACGAGGCACCAAGTAAAAAGGGTCTCCGGTTTTCTACACTCACCATACGAAACAGCAGCGTTAAGCGTGAGTGAGAACGTGGTCCTTCCCCAGTAGAGCCGAACCATTCGTGCTACAACCATAAAATAGCTACAACATGGCGATTATGATCGTACCAGTAAGCAAAGTGTAGAGTGGTAAGAGGCAGGAAGGCAATGAATGCAGGTAGCTCGGGACCGTGATTCGCGGCATTCTATGGGGAAGTCCTGTGTTTAGCAATGGACTTGTGAAGGACTATTGATGACTATAATCCATGCCTATATCTCAGTATACGAGTATATTATGGATATTGTTTATGTCACACATAAACCTAAACATCTTCTTACTATCAATACTACATTATTCATCCGGATAATATATAGAACTAAACTGGCAGATAAGATACATGTTTTGGGGTCGTTTTATAATAATAAACAATAATTAAAAATAAAATATTATAATAATATAATAATAATATGTAATTTTTAATTACTAATTGTTACCCGACTTTTTTAAAATGAGTTTTAATTTCTTAATAGCATGGCAAATTATATACCACCTCCTTTTCATCATGAAAATTGTGTCTCAATTTCCAATGTACGATTGTATGTAGTTCGATATATTTTTAGAAAAAATACTTTCACTTTTGTTGCAGAAAGTCCAATTAATGTCGGAGCCGAAGAGAGAAATGAAAGGAATACTAAAACACATGATATGAATCATTCCCAGACATTGGTCCATAACTAACAGCAGTTTGTTGCCAGTTGAAAAATATCTACTAACAAAACTGCCACTAAATTGTCATTTGTCGTTTAGCTTGACAATATTATACATAACCCAAGAAAATAGCAATAATATTCTCTAAACGATTATTTTTAACTGGCAACACAAAATCAAACACCAGTAAAGAGTGGCTCATGTAGATAGCTTTGTGTAATTATTGATATTTAGTGTCGGAACGAATAAAGTTAAATCTGTAATAATTATTGTAATGCAATGAGGCAGTTCATTGAACACAATGTAGTAACAATCCAAGCTGAAGTATTGGGACGCACTTAAAATGATTTTTCTTATGGCGCTTGTATTATTATTAAACTTTGTACGACTTATACACAAATCCTGTGTAACATGTTCCCGATTATTATATTTTATTTAAGAGGTAAATATTTTGTTTGGATTTAGTAGATAATTCATATTATATCTATTTATTTAGTGAATTTATTAACAATTGGCTCTTTAGCCCTGATGTAAATGTGATTTATTCCCATTAAAGATTTGAAATAACACAGATGCAATAAAATCAGCTTGATAAAGATATATAAAAGATAATATATAGCACACAAATTGTCGCTTCATGGTTGAAATATTTCATAATTCATTTTGTATAACATTAGCGGTAGTTTAACTAAGTGATAGCTTTTTTAAATGATCATTTTTTTTTCTTTACGGATATTATGTGCCTTCTGTGGTCGTGGTGAGACGTTAATAGCTTTTATTGTTTCCTTATGCCCCATTGTTGAAGTTTGTAAAATATTGAGAGCTCTAAAACGGTCGTCTTTATCGATTTTTGTAATGTTAATTTTGTTGACAATTTGTAAAGGCGCGACTATCTGTCGCGCCTAATGATGTACGATTGCTTCGTCGGGGCTCTGCGACGACAATGGAAATAAGGGCGTATTGCACTGGACGTTTTATAACCGCTCTTGTTTTAGTGCCGTTAGTTAATGTCTCTGAATACTCATGAAGTGAGCGAGCCTTTGGCATGTAAACTGTTGGTCTCATGTTATTTTTTACTAACCCACTTCGGTACTAAGGCCTACTACGCCCTACGGCTTGTCGTTCTCATCGTCGGAGAGACGCAGTGTTCGTTGTATCTAAGAAATATGTTATTGTATTATGGTCTTACATATGCATGGTTATTTTTTTAGTGCCTATCTGTAATTACTTTATTAAAGACAAAGATAATAAAATATAATGTAAATTTCTCTGGGTTTCATTCGTGTTTATATTTAAAATAACCTAAATGTCGATTTTTAAAATAATATTATGTAACTTGTTGACTGATTTTGTCCCATGTTTCCTGTATTGGTCGCTACGACTACGATGGAAGGTTCCCCTCTCGGGTCTTACCGATGTCGATACTGCGACGGTACCTTATTTTTGATATTCGTGGCGGCTTAAGAGACTTGAATATTTGTAACACAAGAGACGACGTTATTTAAAATATAGCAACTGTTGATTTTTTTTAAATAATGAAGTAATTTACGTGGTAGAGCCATGCTGCAGCTATATAAGTGGTATAGTTCTAGCATGAATGGGTCCGCTCGACTGGGGAGGTACCACGCTCTCACAGAATACCAGTGTAAAATCAGCTCAACGCTGCTGTGTTGTGTATGGTGAATGTAGAGAAAATACAGATGCGTTGTTACCCATGAGGACTAATCCTCACGGGTGACAACGCATCTGCATTTTGATTCGTAATCGGAGATAGATGTACTGCCGTCATAATAAAGAAGGACGCAACTAACAAAAATGTAAAATGGAAATAAAAAATAAATAGATGAATTTTTCTTTCAGACCCTGCTGTGTCTAAAGTATATTAAAAGGTGTCAATATGAAAATTGAAATTGATAGGTAGAGACATGAAAATTTTAAAGACGAACTTATTTTTTTGATAATTTGTTTATTTATTTAAATAAAACGAATTTTCCTTTTCATCTTAGCTTAAAAAATACACCCAGCAACACAAAAACTTCGAAGGAAAGACGCATATAACCATTTGCGTCTTTCCAACCTAATAAATAAGAAAAAATTGCCATTCATTTAACATTTTTACATATTTTGGAAAGGTCATTTGAAGTTGAAAGGACGCTAATAGTAATTTACTACTTTTCTTAGTAAATATTAGAAAAGCATTGGTAGTGAGACACAAAAAATAACAAACCGCAACTCATGAGTAATGATTTTAAAGGGGATATCAATATCATACAAGACTTACTACGATACATACATACATACATAAACACTCACGCCTGTCACCCAGAGGGGTAGGCAGAGACTACGGACTTCCATTTGGCGCGATCCTGACACACCTCTCTCGCCTCTTTTACATCCATATATCTACGCATACACGCTCGTCGGTTAAGGGTACTCCTAATCTGGCCCATTTTTAATGTATCGCCGATTTGGTCGATAAACCTTCGTCTAGGGCGTCCCTTCCCGACCATGCCGTTCACTTCTGCAACATAAATTTGCTTTGTCACTCTTTCCTCGTTCATTCTTTCTACGTGACCAAACCACCGAAGCATTCCTTTCTTAATCCTTGTCACAACGTCATCTTGCAAACCACACTTTTCTCTTATTACACTATTTCTCACCCTGTCATTCAGATTCAGCCCTAGCATACTCCTTAAGGAACGCATTTCTACAGCATTTATTCTACTCTCATGCTTCTTCTGCCAGACCCAACTTTCACTACCATACATTAAAGTGGGTACTAACACAGCATTATGAATTGCCACACAATAGCGTGTAGAGCCCCATTCACTCTATTTCCTGCGTTCACTCGTCGTTCTATATCCTTATCACATCTACCATCCCTGCTAAATAAACATCCCAAATATACAAACTCATCCACTTGCTCAATCAACTCCCCTTCTATTCTTATTTCACATAAAGTTTTACTTTCTTTTCTTTCATAAACCATCACTTTCGTCTTACTTGCGTTCACTTTCATACCCCTTTCTTTC